CCAGTCTGTCCGCAGATATCGACGATTCCCTTTCAGCTGACTGTTCTTCCAGGGATTTCCCTGGAACTCCGGCCGTGGCTGGGGTAGATGCGGAGCTGGCTAGAATGGTGGTCGACACAGGTTGTTCTTTTAACGTCAGACCCCCGAGTAACGCTTCTCCCTCCAGGGCAGCATCTCTCAACAAGAGACGGGTGAGCTCCTGCTGGTAGCGGGTTCCTGGCAAGTCGGAGTGCCGTGCCCTCTCGCCCACATCGTCACCTCTTGATCCCCGCTGGTCAATGGGACCCCATTCTGGTTCAGCCCGGTGGAAGGTTGCAGTGTGTGTGCTCAGTGCAGGCGGATACGAGTGGCGACTGTCGTGCGCACTTCCTCCCGACACGGTTTCCCTCCAAATCTCCACAGGGGGCACTCCAGTTTTCCCTGAGGCCAGTACAGAGTACACCTGACCCGAGGTGGCGCCCCCTAGTTGGGTCGAGGAGAGCTGTAGCTGCTGGCCGGGCCCAGGTGTATGGCGGGTGTCGTAGCCCAAACTGATGCCGCTCGTCCGGTTACTGCTGCACCGACTTCCCATGGGACTCCCGCCGCCTCCTCCACTTGCGGTACTGCTCGCAAAACTGGACCGAGGGCTCGCCAACACGGACTCCTGCAAGCTGAAAGACGAGCAGGGGCTCAAGGCTGGTGCAGGGGGGAAGAAGAAACCCCCTACGCCACTGTCATGGGTCCTCTGCGGCGGATGAGAGAGGGAAGCAGGGCGTCCGCTGTCCCAGGGTTCGCCACCCGAACTCAAACGCTTGTAGAACAGAGCTTCCTGCAGGGACAATCGCTTATGACGCTCTAAGTCGTGGAGGAAGCTGGGCTCCACGGCAGACGAACGGGGGAACGGGTACGGAGGGGGTACAGACGACAGCGGAGGCGGCTGGGCGAGAAGCTGTTGGCGGCGAACAAGCTGCTGGAGCTCCAGAGAATAACGGCGCTGCTTCAAGGCCACACGAGAATTCTGGCTGTACGCCCCCAGCGGGTCACCTTCGCCTCGTCTCAACTGGTCACACATACTGCGGCCCTCCGCCGTTTCGGGCAAGTAGCACGATGCTCGCTGCTGGGGCGACCGGCGCCGAAGAGGGGCGAGAGTAGACGGGTGATGTTCGGTCCCAGGCCCACAGTCCTCAGGTAGCGAGGCCGAGGTGGTATTTGAGGGTGTGATTCTCTGAGAAGTGCCCACTTTACCAGGTCTTCCAGCTGACTGTCCACACACCTCTACAGAGGAGAGAGGGAACTGAGACGTGGTCACGGGTGCATTGATCTGCGTCGCGGTTCCATTATTGGCATTGTTGCTATTACTGTTGTTATTTGCGTTGGCCAAGTCATTTTTCTTTTTGCTGAATTTGACACTTCCAGAGTCACTCAGTTTGAGCTTTTGCTTCAGTTTGCTGCCAAGTCGATCCATTGTGTTTTACTATAAGCTCAACTACAATATAAAATATAAAGTACGAATTGAACTTCTCTTAAATGCCACCTGAAAACGGCTACAGTTTAAATAGCGTTCTACATAAATACAGTGAAATACAGTGTGGACACAAGCACGATTCAAGTGATTCAACAGCAGATGAGATAACAGACCAAAAGATATGTGACAACAATAACAAAACAGTCAATAACAAAACAATAACACAAAAAAACAAATCCACATAAAAAAGGAATGTTAAAAACTAATACTTTCTGATGAGCTACAAAAATAAATATTTAACTTTGAAGATAAATAAAAAACACTATGACATTTTCTGCAGGCTACATGTCGTACTAGTTAGACTTGAAAACAAGCAGTTTGTTTCCAAACTGTTTGTTTGTGATGAATTTGCTGGACATGCGTGTGAACAGAAGCATGTTGATCCATTTGTTTGCGATCCTTTTTTGCAGCTACTTGTGGCCTTGTCTTCGGCAGTGATCAAATGAACGTGTGGGAACTACCGTCAAGCTTCAAAGAGTCTTTAATTCTCGTCCCAGACTCGCGCAGAACTGATCCATTCAAACGACGAGTCTCACAGTCACATCCGCAATACTGTTGTCGGAACCACTCGCAAGTCTTGTAACGTTAATTAGCTACCACTTGGATTTTGTCTCTGTGGATTTATCCTAAACTGCACTGCCGGTTGTTTAAAAAAAAAAAAAAAAAAGAACAATATAGAGTTTAAATGCTGAATAAATTTCCAGCGCGTTAAACACAGGTTATGGGATACACCACGGCCCCTTCCTGCCTCAACTAGCGGCTTTCAAAAAGGCAAGTTGAAAACGTTTCTCTGTGCGGATAAATGAGTTGTCCGTATCCGCGAACTCAAAAGCGTTTATTCCTCAGCCCAAAAAGTACAAGGCACACCAAAGCCTCTTGTTGTCCCGCAGAATTTGTCCAGTCCAGTTTGAAAGAAAATGACCATTATTCCCTAAAAGTGGAAGTCTTCAAAAGCGCGTAACAATAGAAAAAAAGCTGCAGCGAGTCGAAGAGAGGATCGCGTATCGCTCACCCAAACATATTCGCATAGATAAACACGCACTGCGCAGCCTACGCCGGAAAACTGTGCTAAAATGTTCAACGTAGAGTTTCTTTCTTTCCAAAAAATTTTCCTTCCTCCCCCTTTCTTCTTCCTCTGTGGCTTTTTTCCCTTACCGGAACACCTTTCCCCCGGGCAGCGCGCATGAATAGCATCCCACTATTTCGTCACACAGACCAACTTCTTTAAACAGACTGTGCCCATTGGTTCAGCCTACTGTTTTACTTACACAAACAACCTTGACATTATCGCACACTTTTTTTTTTTTTAAATCTCTTAAATGAAAAAGACACATAGCCTACATTAGGCTATGCTAGTCTAAGGGGGCCGAACGCGTGGTTTAATTAGTTTAGATTAACAAGTGAATCTGTAGGCTAAGCAAAATGAGACAAACTAAAAAAAGTTAAAATGCAACCATGAATCAAATTGTTTATTTTTCACCGTAAGATGTTTTTATTACACAATATGTAACTACGCGTGACGAAAAATCGAGTAAAGTGACGTATATTAGATTTAAAACAGCGTCAGAAACCTAAAACCATGTAAATGGCTCGAAGACCTTATTTTCTGTGTCATTTTTCCAACCCTAAGGCCTAATTGGTCGTGCCGTGCCTTTCGTCTGTGGAATGTGCGGAAGGATACCTCAAAGTTCCCTGGGATAGCGTGAGTCGGCTGCGTGTGTGCTTTTCGCGAGCGCAACAATGTAACTGCTTTTCTTTTCTTCCCTCGCGGAAAATGCCTCTCACTGTTCCATAGTTACCGAGAGGCATAAATTCCGGTGACAACTGACCTGCAGTCGTATGGTTACTGTATTCAACCCCACAGAGACCCTAAAAAGACCCAGTGCTGTTCTTTTGTTTAAAACCTCGTTTTTTCCCTACCCCGGAGCTCCCTCCTCCCATTCTGGTCTTGTCTGCAGCTTCTCCTGCGGTTTCGTGGGAGCGCGCACGAGCTCGCGCGCACTGTGGCGAGTGTGGACTTGTCTAGGAGCGCGCGCGGGAATGTTTCAGCGCTTACTCAGCACTGCTTGAGCCAGAGGAATGAAGGGGATCGGCGGTGCTGAAAGACAATTTAATATTTAAGCGGAAGGTGTAAAGGCTGTTCTCCAGAGGCGCTTCTGTGTCGTGTTTTTACAAGAGGTTTTGTCACCTTAAGACGGTATAATGAATGAAAACTTACCTGTCAGTTATTCAAATCAATTTGTGAATGAATCGAATAAGCAATTCTATTCAGACTATTCAAAATATATTCAAACACCTCAAGGAGAACATTTGTATAAAAAGACATTATAAACTCCTGGCTGGTAGCCACAAGATTTCACGTTGTAACACATTTTATATTAGCTTATCTTTTGTTTTGAGATCGAGTTGAGATTAGAAAGGCTGAACATATACTACAATTTATTCAACAGGTGAATCAGGCAAATCTGTGTTGTATTCAGTGAGACCACAGCATCCTCTACTGGTAGCAATAAGTCACGCCGCCTACACCCTTGCACAGTATTTGTTTTGTCCCTCTTGCTCACCGTAGTTGTTATAATTCCAAAATGGCGGTATCCTTGAGGACGATTTGTACCGCAGGTGAGATAGTCTGTTAGTCAAGTTATAGCATTTTTTTTAACATGTCGTGCTTTGTGCCAAATTTTTGCATCATGTTTTGGGTAGCCTACAGTAATTATGTCTAAACGTTATTCTTTTAAAACAGCAGTGTCAATGGAAGTACACTGTGTAATAGCAGTAATAATTTTAAAACGGTAAATTCATATTAATTGGTCGTTTTTATTTTCACACCATTTGCAGTGTCGATGCAGTCAACAATACGCTCATTTTCCTCGACGTGTGTGAGCCATGCAGGGAAGAAGTGGAGACTGGAGTGAGTTTCCTATGCAGTTTTACTTTAACAAATTGTATTTTTAAAAAGGCAATTAGGTTAGACAAATAATGATTTCATAAGATTATATGAAATACCTGCTGGGAAAAAAGAGATAAAATCACAATGTTTGCATATTACATTCTAATATGGCTAAGCTTGATACCAGTGTTTTGATTTATTCAAATACATTTTCCATTGCTTCCTTTTTGTCTGCAGAAATGGTTTAGCACGTACCGGTTCAGAGTACGGACCAATAACAGATCTACCTGACTGGTCGTTTGCAGGTGAACTTTATCTTGTTTTCTTGACAGTCAAAAGCCAAACACAGATGGATTGTGCTTGTCAATTCTATTTTATGCATCAGTTGTAAGGTGTTTGTCAAACAGTAAATCTATGAATGTAAATATGAGCTCTGACAAGGATTTATATCATATGTTGTGTGATTTTTCAGATGGAAGGCCTGCACCTCCACTGAAAGGACAGATCCGCAGACAAAAGCAAAGAGAGGATTTTGCTGTAAGAACTTTTTTTTTCCTATTGATATTTAACTTCAGAAACAAACTTTGATGTTTACATTTGTGTCTCTATTTAGAGAAGAGCAGTGTATCTCAATGCAGAGGTGGATGAAGGGATGAAGAAATGGTGTGAGAGGAAGGTAGCCGAGAAACAGAAAGAAGAGCATTTGAAATCCTTATTGCTGAAACCTAAGGGAAATTTATTATTAAAAAACAAAAAATAAATATATTTGGGGCAAAAAAAGCTTGTGCGTGATTTCTTTCTAATGCTAAACACACCAACACACTAAAATAATACATATTTTCTATTATAGTGATGGCAAGAAAAAAAAAACACAATCTTTGTTTTGAATTATAAAGGTGGTCATGCATTATTTTGTTTGAGGACAGTACATTCTGTAGGCAGGGGTTAAGCAGATGCTTATTTACAGGACACTTATTGCAGGGATAAAATTTGATTGTTTTGCTCAAGGGTGCAATTATGATAGCTTACAGGTCATACACCTACAAGCATTTGGACTGGATTGGATAAGTCTTACTAAATGTATGTTTTGCATAATCTTTTGATCTGGCCTGTAGTGTTGTCCCAGCAAGCAAAAGTCATCATTTCACTGTCTAGGACTGGTTAACTATAGACCTGACATAGTCCGGCTATGAGTAAACAACTTAGCTAAAATAACTTTGAATTTGGATGCAGGTCATTTTTGCCAAAATAACTGGTGAGCTGTATGATATACTGTCATGTAAACAGGTATTACAAGGTGTTTGGTTTCATTTCATCACTCATTGCATTTCCTAGTTGATGACTAGTCTATTGGGCTATGGTTTAGACGTCTATTAAATGTTCACTGACAGCCCAAATTTTGACAGATGTGTTGGATGGCAATTAGACGTCTTTTATACACAAAATTGCTTGTGGGGTAGATGAATATTCTTATTGTGTCTTTATTTGAATCTCTTTAAAAAAATAATATGACTTCACTATTATATACAAAGGAGAAGGTATTCAAACTTTAGACAGATACTGTACATTCAAATACATTTACTCACGTGCACAATTGAAAGGCAGTTTATCTGTTTGAGATGGCTGTGAAATAGGGAAAGGTATCCCTAATATGTGTTGTGAAAGTGTGTTCCCACTGATTTTTATTATGTGAAGTACAAAACTGGAAAAACAATACTTGTATTGAAAAGTTTGGGTTGTTAAGTCTTTTTTATTATGTCTTTTTTATTTACTATAACATTTCTATTTTATTATATATTTCAAATGCAATTTCTTCTGTCATGACAATCATGATCCTTCAGAAAACATTGCTTATTATTATCGTTATTGAAAACGGTTGTAAGCTTAAATATTTGTATAATTGTGGATTTGTATAATTTTTTTAATCATTTGATTCAAAAGAACAGAATTTACAGTATACATTTCATTGTTGCTGAAATTTTTATTTTAAAACATACTGACCCCAAAAACAGTTGAATAGTAGTGTATTTTATTTCGAAACAAACAAAAAGCTTTTACATTACACTAAAACTAAATCTGTATATTTTACATTTGATCAATAGGCTACATCTTACATTTTAAAACGGACATAATCTGTCTCTCCACTGGGATGCAGTGTTTCTCCATCTCTTTCTGATGATCTTCTGGCAGCCATTTTTCTCTAACCTTGTCTCTAAAAGTTTCAGCACATAATAAATGCTCTTTTTCAGCGTTCTGTTTTTTAGTGTATGTAAATAAATATATAAAAATTGCTAATCTTTTGTTCGTCTTTTTTTCTTTAACAAAGATCTTCTGTTTAACGTTATAAAATAAATTCCAAGGTACAGACTAACATCGAGATGAGACCATTGCCATTCCATCTACTGCCTGAGAAAGTAATCAAGGGTGTTGCTACAGTGACTCTATTTTATATTAGCCGCAAAATGCCATTTCACTTTTCAGAGAACCTCTGAATCTTGAAAATCGATTAGTATAGCCGTGAAATATAAGGAATATTTACATGAATCATTCTCAGTACAGTAGCTTTTATCTTAAACATACCTTTTTTTCTAACTTCTATCTATTTTTAATATTAGGTCTTCGGAAGGAATCTATTTGGAACTCCAACATGGTTGCTCTCTCTCTCTCTCTCTCTCTCTCTCTCTCTCTCTCTCTCTCTCTCTCTCTCTCTCTCTCTCTCTCTCTCTCTCTCTCTCTCTCTCTCTCTCTCTCTTCCAGAGACATACACACACATCGGTCTTCTTGCTGATTTCAGCAGCCTCTCTCCATAATTATGGCTCTAGTTGCTGAACTGCAGATTTTTTCCTCTGGTGTTTTACTGGACCCTGGATCAGATTCAACCATTTTTGTCAGCACTATGAAACCATTTTGTTTAAGATGTCAGCTGATAAAAACAACAGAAACCCAAGGTTTTTCTCACTCAGCTGAATACTTCTAAACCACAGTTATTATGATTGCATATATTTTATGTACATAGCTTTAAGTTTTATAGAACCAATATCCTTGTGTCTCTTGGTCCGTTTAATTCACAATTATTGTTCAAGGCATTGAGACAAATCAAGATAGGTTTTTTATGTACTGATCTTTTACATATTGTTTGATTTCCACCAACAGATTTTTTTTCCTTTGTCCATTCCCCCGCCTTTCTCTATCTCTCTCACTCTGTTGCTCTCTCATGTTGTTTTGGTTTTCCACAGAATGAGATCCAGATGTTTTATGAAGTGCAGGAGGAGAGAGAGCAGAGGACAGGAAGGGTAGAAAAGGGACAAACAATGAGGTGAATGTGCAGTCCTTTAACATACATACAGGGGAAAAAAATAGGGAAAGGATGGTGGAGACAAAAAACTGCAAAAGTTGAGCAAAAGTGTGAGATGATGGCAGATTGAGTATATGTGTGCATGTTGGAGGGCTTCCTGACAGGATATGACACAGCTAAGGTTAGGTTACAGTATGTGTTTGGCCAAAGGTTTTGGAAATAGCAATACACTTCATACTATCAAGGTCAAAGATTTTGACCTTGATATCTCTTTTTTTTCTTTCTTTCTTTTATTTTATATCAAGCAAAACCCAATACTCTTTTATTCTTGGTAAATAAGTTACTAACTTTTAGGGAAAATGTATTATGTATTAGTCTTTAAAACACTGGTTATTTCACTTTTTGTCCACATCATCATATTTTTAAACATCATGTAATTCATAGGGACGTGGTGGTTTTTCAAATCTTTTGCGTTCCCTAAACATACATATATATATATATACTGTATGTGGATTTTAATATGCAGAGAAGTACTAGAGTGTACAGAGAATTAATTGAGCTGTTCCACCCTCTTAGTACCCTCTTATTAGTAGAATCATTATAAACTTCCCAAAATATTTAAATAAACATGCCAGGGATAGGGGATTGTGCAACCGAACTTTCTGCGTAATTCTTTTTTCTCTTCTTGTTTTCTGTGGCTGCTGATTCAGGCCTAATTAGGACTTATTTAATGTTATGGTTGGTTGCTTTTCCAGTACATGCAACTTTGAACTATAGCAATGGGCTTCTCTAAGCCACCTGCTTCCCTGCTCCTCTCCTCCAGGAACACATATGCAGAGTCTAAATTGCAAGCAACTGTCCAGGCCACGTCCTGTTCGCCAGCTCAGCGTGTGTGTGGGCGTTTGTGTACTTTTTCCCTGGCCATCCGAACACCAAGCCCACCAAACATGACTAGAGCTCTTCCACACAACCATAACGAGAGCCAGACGTCCTGTCCTTAGCTCATCTGTCCATCCAATAAACAGATGATAATTACAGTAAAAAGTATAAGCCCTATAAATAATATGAAGTAAAAGTACAGGCTTTTGCATGTAGAAATCTACTTAAGATTAATAATGGCAGCCACAATTTCTAGAACATTGTTTTGTTTTTGCAGGTGAAGAAATTGCAGACTTTTCACCAGTAGTGGATAGTGTGCCAGAGAGAGAAGAAATGAAGAGTTCAGATGCAAAAGCCTCTAAGTGCCATTTGAAATTTTCTTCTAGAATGATCATTTTTATCAAGCTTGTATATTTAAGTTCAGTGATTTCACTTAAATGGCAATGATAATTACCTATTAATTGTTATTTAAGTGAAATTACTGAACTTAAATATACAAGTTTGATAAAAAAATCATCATTAAAGAAGAAAATTTCAAATGGCATTTAGAGGCTTTTGCATCTGAACTCTTCAAATATAAGAGTAATTAGACAAGTCAGTTCATGTCATTTTTATAATGCCTAACTGGGGTTTTTAGTCATCTGAGTCATCACCCCATTTAAAAAGAATGCAAAAAGTAACACAGAGTGAAGAGGGATTCAAAAATGAGGGGACAGGAAAAACAAAACCGAGATGTTTGTGGTGGGGCCGTTCATTAAAAAAACGCCTCATAAAAGAGAACAATTTTGCTGTGTGGACTGGAGAAACGGGGAGGGGGAGAAGACGGGAGGGAAGCGGAAATGGCAGAGCGCTGTTTTTTTCTGTCAGCTGGAACAGTTTTAAAACACTTTGAAGAAAAGCATACACTCCTCCACAACAAAGTACAGTCATATGTCTCTCTAGTCTGGTCCCTTGTTGTCTCAGATATGAGGATATGTGCAAACACTCATCAGTATTTTCTGTCCAAAGCAAATGAAGATAGATATATGATAGATAGACAGATAAATTGATACAGTCCATGAAACTTTTTAGTACATTTGGAACTCACTCATCATGAGAGAATTTTTATTTCTTAAGGTCCCGGAAAAAGAGAATAATGTAAAAAAAAAAAAAAAAAAAGGAACTTTATTTAATTTTCATTTCCAAGTACAAAAAGTATGAAACAGGCAAAAATGTAATTCCTTTACATTTACACTAAATCACTATCATTATAAATATCATTACCATTATCATTGTTAAAACTAATTCAGAAATGTCTAACACTGATGTATTCAGTCTTGTTAAAGAAAACCCATAGCACCATTACTGTTCATAAATAATTATTTATTTGTTTCTGAAAGGTGGAGAGCGAGAAAATATCGCACCTCCAGCCTCTTCTATTATAGAAACCTGACTAATTTGAAATAAGTCACATTCTGCCTGTGTCCAGCAGGACTTGAAATGACGATTTAAAATAGGCAAGACTACACTAGGAGAACAATAATAACAATAACCATAGTCATAATAACAATGCCAATCATTAATGACATACTTAAACTTAGTAAATACCAAATGCATTGCAATAACAATCGCATTTTGAGTTGAAACAGACGGACACCTCTGCTCTATAAGTGTATTTAAAACTGGCCTACTCCAGAAGCTTCTGGGCTTCTCTCTCCCTGAACTTTGACCATTAACCTTTGACCTTTCACGTACAGCAGGTCTCTACAGTCGAGCCATACTTTGTGCAAATATCTTTGTGGTGAATAAAAGGTGCAAGGAAGGTCAATTAAGATAGTCCTTCCATTCTATTAATTCAATGGCAAAGGCACTTTATGGGATACAGGGGGATTTCACTGGATTAGCAATGTAAAAAGCAAAATCTGAGTTAATGAAATATGTCAAAGTGAGATCAGTTAGTGTATAAAACATGTCAATCAAACAGCCGGCCGGCTGGAGTCAAGTTCGGATCTGGAGAGGGAGATTTTCAGAGAGGATAAAGGAGGGATTATATACTGAAGAGAAGACTGAAGGAACAAAAGTGCATTTCACTGAGTGATAAACCGTAACCATGTAAGAGATGGAGGAGGGCTCATGTCTGTCTCTCTTATCTCCCACTCCATTTCAGATTTCTTTTCTAATGGCAGAGAAGTACATGTAAATAGAAAAACAAACAATACACATCCTTCACTTTTCATCTCTCCCTGCCTGCAGACCTGTAAACCAAACTGTACTGTCTGACATTCATTTTCACTCAATCTTTCCAAATGTCATCTACTTGCATCCCTCTAACACTTCTCTTCCCATGCCTTTCATGTTCATCTCTAAACCTTATCGAGCAGAGAGCGGTGACAGTATAGGAGGCGTCGAGGGGTACCATAGTGGTGGAAGAACAGCAGAGCCCCCAAAGTTACGAGCACACAGGCCAGAAGAAAGAGTGGGATGACGATGGTTGCGGCTCTTCCCATGCCTCCGCCTTCTGACTCGTCCATCTCGATGATAAGCACTTCCTCATCTGTGCCGTACCTCTTCGTGGGATCCTCCCCTTCACAGCCCATCCAGTTAGTCAGGACAGATTTGGGGAAGCCTGGCTCCACCTTCAGTTGCTGATTGTTAAACTTCCAGTACTTATTGGCTTTGTAGAAGTACGTGTGGGCTGAAAAATTGTGGGAAAAGCTGATTCAGTAAAAGTGGCTCTAAATTTATAACTCTAAATATGTATTAGGGGTGTCACAAAATATTGTGTCACAAAAAATGCAACAATATGTATCGTGGATAGTGACTATATGTGTGTGTATATATATATATATATACTATATGTGTATATGTGTGTATATATATACTACTGTATGTGTATATATATATATATGTATATATATGTGTATATATGTATGTGTGTATATATGTGTGTATGTATATATGTGTGTGTATGTATATGTATATGTGTATAGAGTATTTGTATATGTTGTATATGCTTTGGCAACATTGTTTGAAAAACTTTCATGCCAATAAAGCCCCTTTGAATTGAATTGAATTGACTAAATGTATTATGTAGTTCACCCAAATTACTGTGTGAGAAAAATTCCACTGTCAGAAAAAAAGGTACGAAAGCTGTCACTGGGGCGGTACCTTTTCAAAAAGGTACACTTTTGTACCAAAAGTGTGCATATTGTACCATGAAGGTACCAATACGCACCCTTTAGGTACAAAAGTGTACCATGAAGGTACCAATGTGCACCCTTTAGGTACAAAAGTGTACCTTTTGAAAAGGTACCGCCCCAGTGACAGCTTTCGTACCTTTTTTTTAGAGTGATAGTCATACCCGGTGCTATGGGCGGGCCTTAGGGGGCCGGGCCCGCCTACCGAGCGCCTGTGCCCCCCTCTCCATGCAATTTGCAATTAATAAATTTTAAAAAGAAATTTATTTTAAAAATAAAAATAATGTATTGAATAACTCATGCGGAGATTCCACTCCCAAAAACGTCGACTTCAGCTGTATTAAGAACATGAGTGGGCCAGTTATTTTTATTACTCTTCTTAAGTTGCACCAGCCCTGACACAATGCTAAATCATAAAACAGATATGTACAATAACATTACGATATCCTTTAATCGATTTAAATAGTTATTGATTTAGGTTTATGTGGTCGTTCAATTACGCCTTTATATTTGTATTAAACGTGAATGTAAATAATGGTCCAGGGGTAGAACTTTTGCCAAGCGTGCCAGAGATTCTGGGTTCTAATCCGTTCTAATAACATTTTTTTTTCCATCAAAACTGATTATGTTTATCAGTGGTTGTATATCAGGCACAGACAAAACATCTTCAGAACATTTTGTGTTTTAATTTCACCGTAATGAATAGAGTCTCTCCACAACGGATTGCGCGTCCGAGTGAAGACTGTGCGCAAGCCAGAAAAAAAAAACACATTAGCCTATCCGCGCCAGCGGCAACGAGCATTAATTTGAACAGTTGATTTTAAAAACACATTTCAGCGCTAGATCGTCTCTTATTTAAAAAACTAACGAAACGAATGCTCTGCTAGTTAACTGAAGATGTTTTGTTTATTTGTATTGGTACATTTGTGCCAGAATGTTTCAAAAGTGGTGGGTACAATATCGACGGTGGGGACATATCCCACCCGCAAATTACGCCTGGTACTTGAAATCGGCGTAATAGTTGGTTTTTGTCCTATAGAAAAATGTATTGGATGTTATAATTAGGCCCCCCCTACAATATTAAATGCCCGTCCATTGGTTTGTTTCTGCAGCCGGCTCTGCTCATGGCCCTCTATCAGAATCCAGAGTTTTGGAAAGATTGGAGAAACTTAATTTTTCGCCCAAAAAAAAAAAAACGTAAGGGGTACCACTGTCGTTTTTTTTTTCGGGCCGAATTTTTGAGTTTCGATATCTCAGCTCTGGAAGGGGCTAGAGCCTCCATTTTTGCACTCAGGTCTAAGTCTCATGGCCCTCTATCAGAATCCAGAGTTTTGGGAAGATTGGAGAAACTTAATTTTTCGCCCAAAAAAAACAAAAACGTAAGGGGTACCACTGTCGTTTTTTTTTCGGGCCGAATTTTTGAGTTTCGATATCTCAGCTCTGGAAGGGGCTAGAGCCTCCATTTTTGCACTCAGGTCTAAGTCTCATGGCCCTCTATCAGAATCCAGAGTTTTGGGAAGATTGGAGAAACTTAATTTTTCGCCCAAAAAAAAAAAACGTAAGGGGTACCACTGTCGTTTTTTTTTCGGGCCGAATTTTTGAGTTTCGATATCTCAGCTCTGGAAGGGGCTAGAGCCTCCATTTTTGCACTCAGGTCTAAGTCTCATGGCCCTCTATCAGAATCCAGAGTTTTGGGAAGATTGGAGAAACTTAATTTTTCACCCAAAAAAAAAAACATAAGGGGTACCACTGTCATTTTTTTTTCGGGCCGAATTTTTGAGTTTCGATATCTCAGCTCTGGAAGGGGCTAGAGCCTCCATTTTTGCACTCAGGTCTAAGTCTCATGGCCCTCTATCAGAATCCAGAGTTTTGGGAAGATTGGAGAAACTTAATTTTTCGCCCCAAAAAAAAAACGTAAGGGGTACCACTGTCGTTTTTTTTTCGGGCCGAATTTTTGAGTTTTGATATCTCAGCTCTGGAAGGGGCTAGAGCCTCCATTTTTGCACTCAGGTCTAAGTCTCATGGATAGTGTCAGTACTGCATTAATCTACTACATAATAATGTTGAATATAATGTATATTAATGCAATGGGGGAATATTTGTGGATCCTAATAATGCCAAATGTTTTATATTACCAGTAAAAAGTGTCCTACATTAGTCAGTGACAGAGTGTAAGCCTATTCATTTACACCCACAATGTAATATAAAATTTAGCATTTTAATTTGATCCTTTTATCATAATATCGTATTGTTAGTTCAGTATCGTGATATCTATCGAATCGTGAAAGAAGGGCATTGTTATACCCCTAATATCAGCAAATCAGCATATTAGAATAATTTCTGAAGTATCATGTAACACTGAAGACTGAAGTAATGATGCTGAAAATTCAGCTTTGCATCACAGGAAATCAAATTAATTTCAAATTTAATATTTCAATCATTTCATGCATAAATATTATATTTACTGAAATAAAAAAAAATGTGCCTTTACCAGCAGTTCTGCTGTACCAGTAGTAAACGAATATTTTTTATTTCAAAATAGATAAATAAAATTGTAAAAGTTTTTGAACCGTTTTTGCTATGGTACCAAAATTGGTATAAAGAACCATAAAATTTTACTGGTGTTGATGACTACTACTGAAATATTGGTATCGTGACAACCATAGTTTTTACTGTAAATTTGATCAAATAACTGCATCCTTTGTTGGCATAGTCTATATATATATATATATATATATATATATATATATACTGTATACGATATGAATATATAGTTAATGACAGTGGTGAAAGGAAAGGAAAAAATGCTTCTGTACCTCTATCCTCGCTCATGAAGGCCCCTTTGATATTATCTGGTACTCCTTGCCATACACTGATGGGTTTGGGGTAGTCTGAATCCACAGATCTGCTTTCCTCATTGAAACGGTAATACCTGAGAAAAGAGAAAAGGCATGAATGGGGAAGAAAAATAATAAAAGTAAGGGAGAAGTTCACAAAAAAAAAGAAGAGGAAGCATTTTTCTCAATATGATACAAAATCACATGAATTTACATCTGAGTCAGATATGGTAAGTGGCACTGGAAACTAACTTGGTTCCTCTGAAGAAGTAAGTGTTGCCAGTGGGTGTGTAGAAAACTGCTGCATCCAGCTTGTCTCTTGGTAGGCCTGTGCCGAGTTCCTTGAAAGTTTTTGGATAACCTTCCTCCATTTTAGCCTCATTGAAAACCCAGTACTTATCACCTAGTTAGAGGAGAGAAAAACAAGAATCATTGCATAATTTGTGACATTGAATAGAACCAGAGATGCAACCTATAGACACCTTTATTTATATGAAACAGGAAATAACTGGAAATAACGCATTTAGGCTGAAGTAGTTTCGGTGTTGATTCAGTTCCGCTATAAAGATCATCAGATTAAATTAGTTCATTACATCTATAAAGCAGTTCTGCAAAACATGATATCATCATCCAGCCCAGTTCACTTCTCATACAACAGCACCAGTAGATTCAGATCAATATTATTGAGTATTAAGTGTCCCCAAACTAAGTAAGTCAGAGGCGACAGTGACAAGAAACCCAAACTCCATCAGGTGACAGAATGGAGAATGAACAATGGAGTTCTCCTCTGGCCAATGAACGAAAACGGTGTCATTAAGATTGAGACTGCATCACAAGTCAGAATTCAGATCGTGATCGGTGGCATTCAAATATTTTGTCAACAACGAAAGGCAAAATAATATAGAAGACAGACGCACCTTTGAAGAAAACAAATTTTCCATCAGAACGTTCGTAGGCTGCGTTGATAGAGGGAGGCAATCCCTTCCAGAAGTGTCCAATGGGCATGGGATACCCCTGCAGAGGTTTACCATCACGCATTCTCCAGAACCACTTTTCCTGTGAAGTAGAGGGGTTAAATATATATAAAAATTAAAAAAAACACACACACAAAATACATGGAATGTCCACACAAAAAAGTTTCGTTTTGCATTCTTTTGTACCTTGAACACGAACATCTCTCCCCTGAGGAAAGCGATGGTGTCGAAATGTCCCTCACATATGTCGGGGCCAAAGGAAGGGCGGTCTGGCTTGGGAGTGGGGGGACGGGGTGCCGGGGGGTGGGGCTTTTCACCAGAACGAGCACCTACCGAAAGAAGCATGTCATGTCTGTTTTTAATTTGGTTTTACATTCATGTTTCCATGTCTTTAGTTTTGTAATTTGTCATCCTTTCATGTCATTTAATTCCCTGCTCCCCTCGTGTGATCTGGTCATGTGGTTCCTTTGCATCATGTATTAGGTTTTCTTTAGGTTTGATTGACTTGAAGCGCACTGCACAGACTGGTCAGTTTATGATATCAATGTCTGATTAGAGAGCAGACGGCTCTATCTGCTGTTGAATCGCTCTCACGGTACTTTGATGTCATACACCAGTTGGTCAGCGCAGTACCGGTTCATATAAAACACACTTATTGATTACTCTCAGGTATACCTTATTAGTCATTAGTCTTTGTGTATTTATAGCTCTCATGTTTCCATTTTCTCTTGGCTAGCTTTGTTCTATGTGACCCGAGTTTGTGGCGAGTTTGGTCTGTTCTAGTCTGTTCAAGTCAAATGCTTATGTTTATGTAATGTCTTAGTTCTGTTTGCTTGTCAATAAAACTGATCGTCAATAAAACTGATCAATAAAACTGAAGATTCGTTCGTCAATAAAACTGCACATGGGTTCTAAACTCTGGCCCATCTGTTCGTTGACATTCCATGACAATACACAGGTGTGCACAGATTTTAATATATTATTTGCAGCTTTTTGAATCTGTACCATCAGTTTTTATTGTTTTGATGACATTTTTATTTTTTTCTGTTTAAATATCTATAGTTTTAAATGGAGAAAAATTAAGATTTGTTTCTTTATCTCTATTTGTAATCCTAACATAACAGTAAATGCTTCAGATAAAATGTGAAACAACAACAACACTTTGGCATCAGTAAGTTCTTTCTTAATGATTTTTAGTAATTATATTTAGTAATTATTCATATATATTTTTTATTGTTATATATCTTATATATAAAATGAAATGTGTATATGTATGTATGTATATGTATATATATATATATGTGTGTGTGTGTGTGTGTGTGTGTGTGTGTGTGTACAGTATATACGATTAGTTGATTTGACAGCACTAATCTGTTCACATTATTAATTCAATAAATTAATCACATTATTAACTAAAGTTAACAAAGATGAATGAAAACTGTAATGTATGTATTGCTCATTGCTCATCTAATTGGCCCTTATAGTAAAGTGTTAAAATCAGACTGTCATTGTACATAATAATCTTGTAATAAAAATAAAAATGATGAATAAATAAATTAAAATAAATATATATATGCAATGCAAACTGACTGCCATATATCTGCTGGATCCCCCGTCTGTCATCATCGGGCAGCACAAAGTTCTCAGTGTCCATCCACTGGTAAAACGGAGCCATGATGGCAGAGGGATCGCCGGAGTGTTCCAAACCAAGAGCATGGCCTAATTCATGCACTGCCACCAGGAACACATCATTACCTGAAAGAGAGGCAGAACAGTGATACTCTAAATGTAAAAATAACACATTACACATGAAGTTTGTTTAGTTGACAGAAACATTTTCACATTCCTGCTCACCTCCCTGGTCAACATTGCCTGTCGTCCAAGGCTCTGCTCCGTCAAAATGGGTATCACCTCCGATACCTTGACCAGGGAAGTACGCGTGGGCCAGGAAACCTCCCTCGCCGTCGAATGGGGTGCTGTCTCCGTGATAGCCTTCCGCGAAGGAAAGCATGATATCTGCAAACTTGTCCACCTTGCCACTGATTTGACTGTATGGGATTTCACGGAACTTGAGTGGTGTCACGTCCTCCCAGACCCTGAAGGCCTTCCTGATGGCCTCGTGTGTGGCATGCTCACCAACTTTAGAAGTGTAGCTCTGGATACTGGGTAAAGAAAACATTTGTGCTTAATTGCTAAATAAAAGTTTTCCTTTCAGGAAGGAAGTGTAGAAATGTGGTCATTTTTAAATACATACATACAGTCTATTTCCACTTCTGAAAAAGAAGAAGTAGACTAATAATGTTCTGAAGAAGTTAGTCATCATTTAATAATTTAATCTTGCATTGGAATGCAAAGAGTAAATGCAATCCAGCTTTCTCCATCCAGAATACTATCTGAATAAAAAAATGCATGTTAACGGCAGGCATACCCGGCGATATGGGCGGGCCTTAGGGGGCCGGGCCCGCCTACCGAGCGCCTGTGCCCCCCTCTCAATGCAATTTGCAATTAATAAATTTTAAAAAGAAATTTATTTTAAAAATAAAAATAATGTATTGAATAACTCATGCGGAGATTCCACTCCCAAAAACGTCGACTTCAGCTGTATTAAGAACATGAGTGGGCCACAGTTATTTTTATTACTCTTCTTAAGTTGCACCAGCCCTGACACAATGCTAAATCATAAAACAGATATGTACAATAACATTACGATATTCTTTAATCGATTTAAATAGTTATTGATTTAGGTTTATGTGGTCGTTCAATTACGCCTTTATATTTGTATTAAACGTGAATGTAAATAATGGTCCAGGGGTAGAACTTTTGCCAAGCGTGCCAGAGATTCTGGGTTCTAATCCGTTCTAATAACATTTTTTTTCCATCAAAACTGATTATGTTTATCAGTGGTTGTATATCAGGCACAGACAAAACATCTTCAGAACATTTTGTGTTTTAATTTCACCGTAATGAATAGAGTCTCTCCACAACGGATTGCGCGTCCGAGTGAAGACTGTGCGCAAGCCAGAAAAAAAAAACACATTAGCCTATCCGCGCCAGCGGCAACGAGCATTAATTTGAACAGTTGATTTTAAAAACACATTTTAGCGCTAGATCGTCTCTTATTTAAAAAACGAACGAAACGAACGCTCTGTTAGTTAACTGTTTATTTGTATTGGTACATTCTTGCCGGAATGTTTCAAAAGTGGTGGGTACAATATCGACGGTGGGGACATATCCCACCCGCAAATTACGCCTGGTACTTGAAATCGGTGTAATAGTTGGTTTTTGTCCTATAGAAAAATGTATTGGATGTCATAATTAGGCCCCCCCTACAATATTAAATGCCCGTCCATTGGTTTGTTTCTGCAGCCGGCTCTGCTCATGGCCCTCTATCAGAATCCAGAGTTTTGGGAAGATTGGAGAAACTTAATTTTTCGCCCAAAAAAAAAAAACGTAAGGGGTACCACTGTCGTTTTTTTTTCGGGCCGAATTTTTGAGTTTCGATATCTCAGCTCTGGAAGGGGCTAGAGCCTCCATTTTTGCACTCAGGTCTAAGTCTCATGGCCCTCTACCAGAATCCAGAGTTTTGGGAAGATTGGAGAAACTTAATTTTTCGCCCCCAAAAAAAAAAAAGCGTAAGGGGTACCACTGTCGTTTTTTTTTTTCGGGCCGAATTTTTGAGTTTCGATATCTCAGCTCTGGAAGGGGCTAGAGCCTCCATTTTTGCACTCAGGTCTAAGTCTCATGGCCCTCTATCAGAATCCAGAGTTTTGGGAAGATTGGAGAAACTTAATTTTTCGCCCAAAAAAAAAAACGTAAGGGGTACCACTGTCGTTTTTTTTTTCGGGCCGAATTTTTGAGTTTCGATATCTCAGCTCTGGAAGGGGCTAGAGCCTCCATTTTTGCACTCAGGTCTAAGTCTCATGGCCCTCTATCAGAATCCAGAGTTTTGGAAGATTGGAGAAACTTAATTTTTCGCCCAAAAAAAAAAAACGTAAGGGGTACCACTGTCGTTTTTTTTTTGGGCCGAATTTTTGAGTTTCGATATCTCAGCTCTGGAAGGGGCTAGAGCCTCCATTTTTGCACTCAGGTCTAAGTCTCATGGCCCTCTATCAGAATCCAGAGTTTTGGGAAGATTGGAGAAACTTAATTTTTCGCCCAAAAAAAAAAACGTAAGGGGTACCACTGTCGTTTTTTTTTCGGGCCGAATTTTTGAGTTTCGATATCTCAGCTCTGGAAGGGGCTAGAGCCTCCATTTTTGCACTCAGGTCTAAGTCTCATGGCCCTCTATCAGAATCCAGAGTTTTGGGAAGATTGGAGAAACTTAATTTTTCGCCCCAAAAAAAAAAACGTAAGGGGTACCACTGTCGTTTTTTTTTTCGGGCCGAATTTTTGAGTTTCGATATCTCAGCTCTGGAAGGGGCTAGAGCCTCCATTTTTGCACTCAGGTCTAAGTCTCATGGCCCTCTATCAGAATCCAGAGTTTTGGGAAGATTGGAGAAACTTAATTTTTCGCCCAAAAAAAAAAACGTAAGGGGTACCACTGTCGTTTTTTTTTCGGGCCGAATTTTTGAGTTTCGATATCTCAGCTCTGGAAGGGGCTAGAGCCTCCATTTTTGCACTCAGGTCTAAGTCTCATGGCCCTCTATCAGAATCCAGAGTTTTGGGAAGATTGGAGAAACTTAATTTTTCGCCCAAAAAAAAAAAACGTAAGGGGTACCACTGTCGTTTTTTTTTTTCGGGCCGAATTTTTGAGTTTCGATATCTCAGCTCTGGAAGGGGCTAGAGCCTCCATTTTTGCACTCAGGTCTAAGTCTCATGGCCCTCTATCAGAATCCAGAGTTTTGGGAAGATTGGAGAAACTTAATTTTTCGCCCAAAAAAAAAAACGTAAGGGGTACCACTGTCGTTTTTTTTTCGGGCCGAATTTTTGAGTTTCGATATCTCAGCTCTGGAAGGGGCTAGAGCCTCCATTTTTGCACTCAGGTCTAAGTCTCATGGCCCTCTATCAGAATCCAGAGTTTTGGGAAGATTGGAGAAACTTAATTTTTCGCCCAAAAAAAAAAAACAAAACGTAAGGGGTACCACTGTCGTTTTTTTTTTCGGGCCGAATTTTTGAGTTTCGATATCTCAGCTCTGGAAGGGGCTAGAGCCTCCATTTTTGCACTCAGGTCTAAGTCTCATGGCCCTCTATCAGAATCCAGAGTTTTGGGAAGATTGGAGAAACTTAATTTTTCGCCCAAAAAAAAAAACGTAAGGGGTACCACTGGTGTTTTTTTTTCGGGCCGAATTTTTGAGTTTCGATATCTCATCTCTGGAAGGGGCTAGAGCCTCCATTTTTGCACTCAGGTCTAAGTCTCATGGCCCTCTATCAGAATCCAGAGTTTTGGGAAGATTGGAGAAACTTAATTTTTCGCCCAAAAAAAAAACAAAAACGTAAGGGGTACCCACTGTCGTTTTTTTTTTCGGGCCGAATTTTTGAGTTTCGATATCTCAGCTCTGGAAGGGGCTAGAGCCTCCATTTTTGCACTCAGGTCTAAGTCTCGTGGCCCTCTATCAGAATCCAGAGTTTTGGGAAGATTGGAGAAACTTAATTTTTTTAAAATAAAAATAATGTATTGAATAACTCATGCGGAGATTCCACTCCCAAAAACGTCGACTTCAGCTGTATTAAGAACATGAGTGGGCCACAGTTATTTTTATTACTCTTCTTAAGTTGCACCAGCCCTGACACAATGCTAAATCATAAAACAGATATGTACAATAACATTACGATATCCTTTAATCGATTTAAATAGTTATTGATTTAGGTTTATGTGGTCGTTCAATTACGCCTTTATATTTGTATTAAACGTGAATGTAAATAATGGTCCAGGGGTAGAACTTTTGCCAAGCGTGCCAGAGATTCTGGGTTCTAATCCATTCTAATAACATTTTTTTTTTCCATCAAAACTGATTATGTTTATCAGTGGTTGTATATCAGGCACAGACAAAACATCTTCAGAACATTTTGTGTTTTAATTTCACCGTAATGAATAGAGTCTCTCCACAACGGATTGCGCGTCCGAGTGAAGACTGTGCGCAAGCCAGAAAAAAAAAAAAACACATTAGCCTATCCGCGCCAGCGGCAACGAGCATTAATTTGAACAGTTGATTTTAAAAACACATTTCAGCGCTAGATCGTCTCTTATTTAAAAAACGAACGAAACGAATGCTCTGCTAGTTAACTGAAGATGTTTTGTTTATTTGTATTGGTACATTCGTGCCGGAATGTTTCAAAAGTGGTGGGTACAGTATCGACGGTGGGGACATATCCCACCCGCAAATTACGCCTGGTACTTGAAATCGGTGTAATAGTTGGTTTTTGTCCAATAGAAAAATGTATTGGATGTCATAATTAGGCCCCCCCTACAATATTAAATGCCCGTCCATTGGTTTGTTTCTGCAGCCGGCTCTGAAACCAGTGTTTATGATTATGATTAGATATTAAAATAATATGATAACAAATATCAGTTTGCAATGTCAATCAACACAACAGACTGTTTTTGTACAACTAAAATAGCTGGAAGAGGGTGGCACATTACATATAGGCTGGTCTTACATTAAAATTAAGGTGGATAGAGTGCCACAGTGTGCATTAAATATTACTATTATTATTCATTTTCCTTAGGCTGTCAATTGCAGTTCCATACCTGAATGTGACCTCTCTTTTGTCCCATTTTAGGCCCTGGATGACATAGCGCTTCTTTCGCAGGTTGCTCTTCAGTTCAGAGCCGAATTTATCTGGAACACCGCACCTTGGCCGCTGCATCGCCCTAACATCATGTTAATGCAAGACAAAGTCATTGGCTCACATATGATTGAAAACAGGCAGCAAATCAGATGTTTAATTATCAGGTCATCCATTTGTGGACAAAGATTGTCAGTCTTTAGCATAAATAATATAGCTATTGAGTAACATATTGCACATTATCTTTAAATGGTAACAATTAACCAGTGTTGGACAGTAATTAAGTTATTTTTTTCTGGTACCTGTGTACTTAATCAGAGTACTTTTATTTTGGTAAAATTCCCCTTCATAAATAATCAATGAATAATCAATAATCGAATGAAATAATCAATCAATTTTACTTTTAATAATTATAGTAATAGTACATTAACTTACTTTTGTACTTTTCAAGTAATACTGAAAATGAGTACTTATACTGGAGTAATATTTTATTATGGTATCTCTACTTTTACTCAAGTACTTTATCAGTACGAGACAGGGCAAGACTTACGATAGTGTAGCTGGATCCATAGTGCCGGTGACAGTGAGGCCATAGAATTTCTGCATGGCGGATATAGCTGAGGTGATGGATTTAGGAGAGCGGATTGCCTGAGCCCGGACATCGCCAGGAGGAAGATACCCATACTGCTGGAGCCAAGCCTGAGAGAGAATGAATGTCACATTAAGACAAAACCCATATTAACATGCAGCTGTAACTACTATAATAAATCGAATGTGAATAAAAGACACACACACACTCGTGCACAAAAAGTTTCTCTGGAAAACATCACAACTTCTGTCAGAGCATGAAATAGCACAGGTGACACTGCTGTAATGGCTGTTAAGGTGACCTCAGTGAATTAAAGGTTGGGCTGAATGCTTTTGAAGTGTCCTCACTGTTCCAAATGTCTTAATGCAGCACCACATACACATGACATGCTGTCTGAATTTATAAAATCTAACTGTACATAAACCTGCCAAAGTCCACAAACATCAGTGATGAACCGCAGTCCATGCACATTGCTTATGACCTGGTTAAACTTTTGTGGGTAAGAGAGTTTGTATGGACACTCAACAATTTTGAAGGCTTTAACTGTGTCTTGTGTGTTGTAACTGTAAGTAACTGTACATTTCAGAGACTTTATGACCATAATTTAACTTGTACATGTGTGTGTTTCCAACCTAGTTATGCTTTGGGGTTATATTTGCTGAAGAAATGCCCCCCCCCCCCCTTCAGAAGAATGTTTTCTTTTAGGGGTAGGATTAGGGCTGGCCACACATGGGTAAAGACGGACTAACTTTGAATTAAAACAGTTCTTTTGTTTTCTGACTTACTGAAATTAACACTGAGAACATGAAAAGAGGGAAAAGGGAAACCTAACAAAGAAAAAAAATCGAAATATATGTAATTTACAGCTAAACGACAATGGTAATGTAATTATGTAGCTTCAAAGAACTTCAATCTTCATGTGCTTATGACTTGCGCTCAAAGAAAACATGTTTGGTATATATGTTCATTATAAAGAAGCAAAATCCCACATGATAAACTAATATTCTGAATAGTAAAGGGACATGTTCCCCTCATGTCTATGGTAGTTATGGCCCTGATTATAGCTGTGCAGGTGGTTGTAGACTAAGGCACTGATCTGGGCTGTTAACACAAAGGTTACAGGTTTAGGAGTGACTGTCTGTTAGACTAAATGGGTGAATGTCTAATTTTAAGGATCAGACAGCCAGTGTCTCCAGTCCAACCACAAAGAGTGTCAGCAAAAATTACAAGCATTTTTCAGTAATCCTTGTGACCTCAGACTGCCTCCCTTTCTTATTTTCTTTCTTTCTCTCTTTCTTTTCTAAGTAGGCTATGAGCAGCATTTGTATCGGCTACAAAAAGAGTTGAGAAAAAGAAGGACAAGCCGTTCAGATTTACAATGGTTGAAATTAAGGCATAATTATGTTCATAAAGTTAATTATACTATAAAAAAAACTATATTTCCAGTTTGTGGGACCTTTTGATTCACACACACTTACAAAATGTGAATTACTTGGAACTAAATAATAATTTATGTTGATCTAACAACGTTTGTGTTAGTGTGCCTTTGCATTTTAGGGTTGGTGTGCCTTTAGAAACAAAGACAGCATAGTTCACTTCACATTCAATATTAAATTGAAAAATGAATTTTTTGGCTTGGTGAATAAACAAGTTCAAATTGACTAAATAAAGTATCGTTACAATTTTAAGACAAATTCTATGGCACTTACTCCTATTATTTACACATTATACTCTGTGAAACACCTCAACAAACCTGTATGTTATCATACTACAGTGATTAATAAACCACATCCAGAGAGCAACTTCACTAAATCAGTGAGTGCTTTCACACAGTTTCCTTCACTTGTAGATTTTACGATGGGACTGGCAGGCCTGCACTGACTATTTTGGTCGAGGAAGTATATAACTGGATAGGGCATTATAGTGTAGTGTTAACCTGGTCACCCTTTCTTCAGTTTTCTTTCTCTCAGTCCGTCATTCAATTCCTCCTTCTTTATGAGTGCTTACTGTGTGTGGTGCCTCCGCCGTGGTGACGCGCCCCGTTTTTGTAAAAACACTAACTCACGAGGATGAAAATGTTTCCCTTTCTCTCTTACTCCCTCTGAAGGCCACTCTTCTCCCTCCTGAAAAGCCTCAGGTCTCCTCTTAATGCAGCCAGCAATCCCAGCATGCTCCGCTGCCCTGGAACTCCCAGTGGTGGGTGTCAAAGCTTCTATTTAGAACACCTCTACCGTTCCCGACTGAGGAAGAGCGAGTCACTGTGTGGCCATGCGTCAGGTATTACCATGCAGACAGCTAGCCTTTATTGAGTTTATTGAGTCTCGGGCTGTCTGGGTAAGCTAATTACGCTGCATATACAGAAGACACGAGGTTATGTGTAATCACACACTATGACATCACTGCCACACATCGCAGCACGGTTAATACATGCTACAGCAAAAATTAAACCTATTATGCTTTTTTACTTTTTCAACTATCTTTAGTGCGTAATGTTGACATTTGAGCACGAAAAATGTTTGCAAAGTCCCAAAGTAGTCATTTCTGAACTCCCTGAAACGCCTCCATTGTAGTCTTGGGTTTTCTTCTGGGAAATATCACATCACAATATTCCTCATTTAAAGGAGCTGTGTGTAAGAAACTTAGTTCAAATAATCATAAAATGGCCCTGATTTGTCACTAGACATTATAAATCATGTTCATTTCAAATACTTAAACCACTGAATACTTTTTTAAATACTTAAAAAGTGAAGTTGCAGCCCTCAACTGATGTTGATGTTGTCATGTTGTGTTTTGGTCTGATGCGCCACCCTCCACCGATCTACCAATCACAAAGTCAGTATTGTTGCGGCATTCGGGTTGCCAGCTCTGCTCTAGTCACCACAGCTGCAGATTCAAATGTGTCGGATAAAAAAACTGATGGATCCTGGAGCCTATCTGGCAACCTCGAGTCAGGGGGCAGGGAGGAGGGGATACACCGCTGTACAGTAATTTGAAAGTGATTGCAGTACCAGTTTTGGCCACAATTGTACATACGGCTCCTTTAAAAAGTGACTAAACCCTAAACCAACTTTTTTTAGTTAATGATCTGTAAGAATGGATCTTTATTAATACCATTCATTGATTCGAGTAACTTTTTTGACATTTGTGTATAGTGTTTTATTTCTACAATATATGGTAAAAACGTCTTAGTTCTGCCCTCTTCAGGTTGAACGGTGGCTACTACAGTTGAATATTCCTATTGGATGTTCCGCACTTCTTGACGTACGCAGGTTTCAGCTCACCACGCTCTTGGTACGAGCTATGCCCTTGGCAGTATAAAAACCAGCTTGTTTCGTCAGAACCAGTCAGGAGTTGGAATTGTGAATATTGAAAATGATCAGGATAGAGTGTTTTAGCATCTATTTCGTCCGCTGGGGTCTGCCCACTTTTTCAGCATTTTTCAAATATTGCCATTGGGCGGAGTCAGACTCTGACCAGGGGTTTAGTTACCCTGTAAATAATTCCCACCCAAGGCATATGCAAAAAAAAAAAAAAAAAAAACACACGCTCAAAGCAGTTGAACAATTTTCGCTTTCCGTAAGAAGGGGCTTAGAGAGATGAACTAAACTGAGCATTACTGACACACTAGGAAGATGGTGCTGTAAAAATAATACTTCAATAAACATTCAAGCATGTAAACCTAAAAAACAAAATCAAGACTTCGTAAATAAATGGAATGGAGCCAGTGTGACAGTTCAGTGTTTTCTAAGAAGCCACTTTCTGAAAAACAATTTCATCAGTTTTAGTGTTGCAACATTCTGAACATGTTGTTTTGCTAGTATATGTGCACAGTTTTAACCCTAATCTCTTATTCTTATAGTTTCTCTGCAGAATATATTGGTGTCAGATTTTCCAGGCTCAGATGGTGGGGGGAGCAGCATTTATGATTTTAATGGCTGATCTGCTGCTCCTAAGGCATTAAAGAGGGAGAAAAAGAAGTTGGAGAGAAAAAAAACAAAACCTAAGTGAGGTCCTAGGGATTTTTTTAAAAGTTAGAAATATAAAAACAAAGAGTAGAAGAAAAAGAAAGAAGAAGAAAAAAAAATGAGGCCAGAGGTGAGTCTGAATGCACGACAGAAGGACTTAGTCAGTCGTTCCTCCTTGTCTGTGCCAATGGAAAAAACAGAACATTTTTCAGGCATTAGTGCCCGTGTCTCACTCTGCATCTTCACTGGAGGATCAGATCGCTGACCCATTTACCGAGCAGCTGAACTAATTCTGACACAGGATATTTATCAAAATCCCAAAAATAATGCAAACTCAAAAATATCTAGTTTCTATTCATTTGAGATCACAGGAAAAAAATTAGCAGAAGTTGATCTTCTAATTCCAGCAGTTACAGATGCATGACATAATCCATATATAATCCGCATCATTTATATACTGCAGTACTTCATCGTTTTTCCATGTAAACAAAACAAGCATCAAAAAGAGAAATTGTAGAGTTTGAGTCTTGTTGTACATCTTACTGAATGAAATTTCAACATGTGATTTGTTTTCTTCTAAACTGCAAAAACCAAACACTTTTTCAAGCCTCTTAAAGTAATGAAGGTCTGAAAAAATCAACTGAGTTTCAACAGATGCTTTGCATCTGTAATACTACTTAAACAAATACATAATCTCTCGACTATGGTTTGGAGGGGGGGGGGGGGGGCAATACCCAGCTGTTTTCCATAAGGAATATGGCTGAATTTCTTTCTTTTTTTGACCTTTTAGTACAGTATTCTAAATAAAAGCACCTGTAACAACAGAAAAAGTGCAGCGCAAAGTAATAATAACATAATGTAAAGCATTTAGTTTGTTAGAAGTAAAGTTCAGAATTCTTAGGGAAAGAAACTGTATATATTAAAGGGCTGTGCAACTTAGGAAATCCAAAGAGCCAATGGGCATCTGGAATTTAACCTTTTGCGTGACCTTACTCTCTGATCACGCGACTCTCACATGAGGAGACTGTTATTGTCTTTGAAAACCTCGAAAGCTTTCGGTGGAATCTGGAGTGCTGAATGTTTTTCACACTAGCCTTGAGTACGTCTCTCAACCATCTCAGAAATGTGAAGGAGTGTGAGAGAAAGGAATGAAGGGATGCAAATAGAGACCGTTATTAAAATGTCTTTAAGTGTTAGTTCACCCATAAAGTGTTAGTTCTGTCCCTCTGTTGACAGTCTATGCAACTACCACTTTGATGCTTCAAAAAGTTCATAAAGAGGTCAATATGAATTGAGTTTAGTCCAAATTTTCTGAAGAGAGACAATAACTTTATATGATGAACAGATTAAATGTAGGCTTTTATATAAATATTCATAAACACACACATCCGTTAGACGTGCGAGAACCAATGAGATTAATTAATTCTTATGTGTTCAATGTTTATATGTGAATAAAAGCCAAAATTAATCTGTTCATCATATGAATCGACTGTGTCTCTTCAGAATTTTTTTTTTTTACTTTTTGAAGCATCAAAGAAGTTGCGTAAACTGAACTGGCTCCGATTTTTTATATATATTTTCATTTGTGTTTCGAAGATGAAGGAAAGTCTTACGTGCTTGGAACAACACAAGGGTGAGTAAATGATGGCAGAATTCATTTTTTGGTGAACTAACCCTTTAAATCCTCTCTCTGATCTTGTTTTCTTTATTTTAGACCATTTCCTGGCTTGCATCTGTGTCAGAGATGCCAAAATGTCACTCGTTCTCTTCCCCCTCACAGTTATGTGTCTACCAGACATAGGCCTCTTTCTGAAACAAACATTAGATGGCTCTGGGGTGTATAAACAAATTGATATATGTAATAATATCTACCTGTTAGCCTTGTTTTTTTCTGTCAAAGCAAATAGAAAGAAAAAATGTGAATCTAGAGATGCAGTACAGAAACCACAGAATTGCGACACTTTAATAACTAACCCTCTCTAGGAGCCCTGGCCTGGAGCCTCTGACTCACTCCTGTTTTTGTTTTACCTTGATATTTAGGGATCCAGAAAGACAGTTTTTTACAACATCATCTGACTTCTCATTTGTATTCAACTGCAAATTATAAGGTAGCCTATACACTTCATGAAGGAAATCCTGACATGCAGAAACATCTGAGTATATCTGTGTCCAACAACAGGCTTGATAGAGAGATAGTGGAAAGACACACACATAGACCGCTGGTTGGTCCATTTCAGGTTTTATATCCTTTTGGGTGCATTTGGTCCCCATTATGTTGGTTAATTCTGCACACACACACACACACACACACAATACTAGAACAACACTTGGTGTATATTTACCTCTGGTCTGACTTCTTTGCCACTGGTCCCGCTTTGCACCAGAAACACGCTTGCGAGGGCGAGCGGCAGTAGCCGCTGTAACGTCTGGAGTTTAGGCAACATTCCTCAGTGCACGAGATGACTGGATTCGGGACACAAAAAATGCTCTAGGCTCCGTTCTTAAAGTTTTCTCCTCTAAGTTTTCCCCAGTAGATTTTCCTAAATCAGACCATTCCAATAGTGAAAACGTTTCCTTAAAACTCTGCCTGGTAGTTTTTCCGAAGAAAAGAATAAAACCGACTTATGCCTAGCCTATAAAGTATGTAATCATAATTATTGAAAATTTTTCCAAAAGTAAAGTTGGACCATACACTTTCCAGCAGAAGAGAGAACTATCTGCAGATGTGTAATATTGTTTTTATCTTAGGGCTGCGCTACATTCTCATCTTGCACTGGAGAAATTTCTTTTGTCCTCTAGTGATGGCCGGTTCGTGAACGAATCGTTCTTTTGAACCGGTTCTTTTTAGTGAACCGGTCGAACCAGTACACTAAATCGGACTGAATCGTTCGAAACAGTTCGCGTCTTGCGTCAGCGCTGAACCACAAGTTACTAAAGTTACTCACTTTCAGACATGCCTGACAGTCCCTCCGAATCGAAATAAACCAATATCCATTAGTACATTTTATTCAGTAACTCAAAAAGTTCAATGAACGGAGACATATGTTGGTGCTGAGAGAAGTGATGAGCACGAGCAGCTGATACTGCGCATGCGTGTACTACCGAACATACAGGTACAGCGGTCGGATAACCAGTACAGAACCGAGAACTGTTTCTTTCAGACACGTACGACATACTGAGAACTGATGAGTTGATGAGCTGAGCATGCGTGCATTTTTTTCTGAGGGACGAAATGTACGTTTCCATGTCTTTAGTTGAACATCAGTAAGTGTAACAAAATAAAACATTTTGGAAACATGTTTATCACATTACTGTATCACTGTATTATTTTAACGATTGGAAATAATGATTGGATTCTAAAACTGTCAAACTACTAAACATTTATTATTATACTAAAATAATATTTTCAGGAACAGCTCATTTAATCTCTAAGTAACAATATAAATCATTGATGTAAACTCTTGCCAAGGTTTGGTGCACTGCTTAGTAAATGTTTATAATGTGTTAACATAACGAATTAAACATATATGTTTAATTCGTTATGTTAACACATTATAAACATGATGTATATACTGTATAGGCTACGGAAGGCTATATTGGAGACAGACATGCATCGATTTTTTTTGTTTTGTCGACTGTATATTCAGGTTTCAGCTCAGCACACAGCTATGCTATGGTTCTCGAGTCGAGAACTGGTTGTTGCAGTTCTTGAATCACTAGTACAGAACCGAGAACGGTTTCTTTCGGACACGTTCGATACGGAGAACCGATGAGCTGGAGATACTGCGCATGCGTGATAACACCGTCTCTGAACAGAACTTTCTTTCGGCCGGCTGATCCTGTGCTGATATACGAGCACGCAGTAGTACGGGTGAACCCAGGACTTAAATGAGAGGGCGAATCGGCGAAATGTACGTTTATTTAATAACAAATAAAATGACGAAGACCATTTATGCATTTTATATATTTAAAACATGTAAAACATCCGCGTTAGCACATCGCCTAGGCTGCAGCAGGGTTCGTTTTCAAAATGTAAATGTAAGAAACTTATCCAAGATTATTATGACAATGCATACTATTATTTAACTGAAGTTGTGATTACTAATGCCTTTAATTTGAAGTATTTTTATCCGCCGGGATGATAGAATTGACGTCATTACGTGATGACGTAAAAGAACTGGTGAACCGGTTTTTTGAACCGGTTCATTAAAACGAACTGTCCGAAAGAACCGGTTCGCGGAAAAGAACCGGACTTCCCATCACTATTGTCCTCCGCTGATCTCTCTCTCTCTCCACAGGCGGCTTCACTGTCACTTTGAGATGGTCCTCACTGCGGAACATGAAATCCATGGGGGAGGAGTCGGATCCAGATCCAACTCCTCCCACATTACATAGCCTACACCTAAACCTAACCAACTCCGCCCCCTGATCCCTAAACCCACCCCTAATCCCTAAACCCAACCCTAATCCTACCCATCTCCACCCCTTGGATCGTGATCCGACTCCTCCCCGTGGATCTCATGTTCTGCATTGCCATTGAGGTGCTACCAGTTTGGAGACGTGGTTGTTTCTTACGTCTCCTGCGGTAATCTGCCTGCACTACAGACTGAGTTTCTGAATGGGAGGAGTTAAAAAGAGAATCGACGCTACAGATGTGCATTTTCCCAGTGTGCTAATTATTCAATGATTTTCTGAATTCTCTCCGAAATTCGACCGTCTTTTGTCGCCTCTAGAACAGATATTGAAGTAAAAAACGGTCGGATAAAACCACCGATGAAGGAAAAAACACAAAAAGCTTTCTCCTTTTTTACTCACAGAGGACGTCTTACAGACGTTACTGGCAAACTGGGACACCTAGTTTTTTTTAATAAAAAAACTAAATGTATTGTAAATAATAAAATAGACAAAAATACAATGTATAATAATATATTTTATTAGTAGTATTATTTATAATAATAATAAGAATAATAGTATTAAATTAGATTGTCTAGATTCCACCAGATACAGAAATACATGGTTTATTATAATTATTATTATAGTGAATACTTTAATATCATAATATGTTGAAAAACAGTAGTAGGTGTGTTCAAACTTTCAACAAATAGTGTGGCCTACTTTAAAAACAGTCCCAATGTGGTCCCAATGTGGAGAATAGTAGTATATTCCATGGCAATGCTGAAAAGGGCGCTAAATTATGACATCTAGTGTTGAAAGGCGAACAATGCAAGCAGAAAGCACCGTGCATGTAGCGTCACTGAAATGTAGTTGGGTGGTGTATCTCGTCTCCCACCTACGAAACAGAACTTGCGGAAGTGACTGGGAACGAATGTCAACAAGAGAGAAGAAGAAAAGGTACGGTAAAGATAAAGTCTCAAAACAATAATATACTAAAGAAGGTATAGAATCTCATTTCGAATAATTTATAGTGTGGTATCAGGTCTTAATAGTGTCCTAATATAAAGTAAAGTAAGTAGCAGGAAGCCAGCTAGCGTTAGCAAAAATCAGACGAGAAAGGCTGGTTAGAAGTCGGAAACTAAACTTTCGGAACAACCAGTCAGTTCAGACGCTGGTCGTCTTATTTTCTTAAGGGCGAAACGTAAGGAGATGCCCTCAATTATATGTTTTGACTATATGTATGAAGTGTCACTGAATAGTTTGCATGTTTCGTTTATAAACATTACACGGCTACTCTGCCTAACACCGAGTTGCGTCACTGCTGGGAAGAGAGCGAGACAGGAAGTCTGTGCGAAAGACATTCTATGCGATATTTTTTGTCGATTACAGACCATAAAACTCGAATCCATATGTTGACCTTTGTCGAGGTGATTTTCTGACTGAAACAGTTGCTTTTGAAAGCTAATGCTGGCCAGCCACTGAGTTTCAGTTGTCAGTGTTGTCTTTGTCTGAAATGGTAGTTTATGGTGTTTATTTTGTCTTTACAGCTCCCACACTTCCAACAGGACCCATTTGTGATGGTGCCACTTTTAATTGTGGCAAGCTGATGGATCTACCGACCATATTTTTGCCATAAATAGTTTTTTTTTTATTTGTGTTTTATGAAACAACGACAGTCATTGGCTTTTTAGAATGTCTATTTCCCACAGCCTTTACGTCTTAGGTCTTTTGTTTTTATCAGGTAAGATATCATGATTTTGTCACTGACTGTTTATCGTGCAGATATGATACTAACTCTTAAGTTATTATATAAATCTGATTTAAATACTGACCTTGACTTAACCAAAGGTAACTACCTATGGTGACTTTAGGGTCAAGCAAGGTAACATAAACATAAGATTGATTGTATTTACATCATGATAAATGGCAATAAACCACATTTAGAAGTCCTTGTCTTATATGTGATTTGTATTTTTCCTCCCACAGTTCCTTGCACTCTGGAGCTGGTCTTGAGTGCCGGTAAGGACGAGCTTGACATCTCTTTGTTTGTTTCTCTGTCTGAATGCTTATTTTAATTTACAATCAATGCCCCAGTTGAAAATGCAACCTTTTCTGACTAAAATAGTCATCGAGAAGGTCAAGTCAAAAACTAAAGCATTAGAGATTAAAGGGACAGTTCACCCAAAATGAAAATTCTGTCATCATTTACTCACCATCAAATTGTTCCAAAGCTGTATGAATTTCTTTCTTCTGCTGAACACAAAATAAGATATTTGGAAGAATGTGGGTAACTAAACAGTTGATGGGGGGGCTCCCTAATTATTATTTTTCCATACTATGGATATCAGTGGATGTCCATCAACTGGTAATGCACATTCTTCAAAATACCTTCTTTTGTGTTCAGCAGAAGAAAGAAATTTGCACAGCTTTGGAACAACTTAATGGTTGATTAAATGTTGACAGAATTTTTATTTTTAGGGTGACGATCTCTTTAAATGTCACTTTCTTATAATGTAATGTATTGTTATCTCCACATGCAAAGTCCAAAAATATGTGTCTTGTGCCTATCATTATTTTATTGAATGACACACACACTTCACTTTAGGACACTATAGGCCTTATTTTCTGTTATGCTGTTCCGTTTTTGCAGTAGCGTTGTATATTTCTATTGCGGTGCTGTCGAAGAGTAATTCACTGGTAAAGTGAATTTACTTATTGTATAGTTAGTTAACAAAAGTCATCATGAGCATTGTAATGTATGAAACGGATGTCATAACAAATGTCAGTAGACCGGGAAGATGTTAAAATGAGCAGTTCATTCTAAAATCCGTAAGATCTTACCTTCATGCTGTGGAAATACTTACCCGAAGACAGAACACAATGAGCTCAGCTCCGAAAAGGGACGGGGCTAGATAAGGTCTATAGGTGTGGTCACAATTACTTTTGCTCGTCTAAATTTCATAGGTTTTTCAGTCACAAATTTCCAGTCATTTTTGCAAAACATTTTCACATGTAGATTTGCATCGAATTCAATTTGTTGTGTTAACCAACAGAATGCTGCTGTGTTTGCGCATTACCACACAGTGGACAATGGATCTTTTTTTCCAATGTCACTGTGCATTTATTTCCTGTTTGACTGCTCAGGTTTTCTCTTTAGTATTGCCTGTGGACATTTTTCATATACTTAGGCTAAATGCTCATTTTTATTTAGTTATATGTTTTAAAGCCCATTCCTCCTGCTTTCATGTGTAAAATGATGTTCTCAAATAACTCCAGGAAATCACGTATCGTCTCTTGTGATTTCACATAGAAATTTAGGGCTAGAGCACAATGAAATGTAAAGATATTTTTGCTTGGACTGTCTGTTTCAGCTCGTTGTGATCATTCACCCAAAA